AAGGCCTAAAATATTTAGTCTCCCCCTTTCTCTGAAAGTTTGCCAATCCCTGGTCTGATACTTCATCCCCATGGTGACTCTTCAAGGGTCTTCCTAGGCTAGGAATCTGAACACTGGAGCAATGACTCTGGTCAGGGATATGACAGGACAGCCAGGATCCTGCTTGAATCTGCCTTACTCAGCCTGTGGGTGGTCAGGGTGGGCACACTCGTTGCTGTGAGAGTCAACTTTTTCTCTTCACTGCCTTCCACAGGGCCCAGCAAGAACCGAACACGCTGTTCAGGAGCGCGAGGCTTCCCAGCATTGAGACCTGAACACAGAAGTTAAGAACAATTGTTAACACTGTCCCAACACCTGGGGAGAAGAGGTAGAGATGTATATCAATGTAAGGAACAGAATGGCAGTCCTTAAGAAAACATGGGGACGGGGCTGGAGAGATAGATGGCTCGGCTGTTAAGAGCACTGACTGCTATTGCAGAGGACCCGGGTTCGATTCCCAGCACCCACATGGCGGCTATGAATCGTCCTTAACTCCAGTTCCAGGGGAATCTGACACTCTCTTCTGACCTCCACAGCATTGCACGACAAGGGTGCACTCACATACATGCAGGCAATACACTCATACACATAAAGTAAAAAAAAATAAAATATTTTTTTAAAAAAGAAAACCTGGGGCTAGCTTAGTTGGTAGAATATTTGCGTAGCATGCATGAAGCCCTGGGTTCCATTCCCAGCACCCACAAACCATGTGGGTGATGCATATATGTAATCCCAGCACTAGGGAGGCAAGAGGCAAGTGGGCAGAGGCTTGATCCACATAGCAAGTTCCAGATCAGCCAGGGCTATAGAATCAGTTTCTCTATTTTTCATTTTATTATTATTTTTAATGTATATGAGTGTATTGTCTGCATGTATGTAAGTGCACCTGGGTGGTGCAATGCTCGCGGAGGTCAGAAAAAGGCATCGGATCCCCTGGAACTAGAGTTATGGATGGTTGTTGGCAGCCATGTGGGTACTGGGAACCGAACCCGGGTCTTCGGCCCCTGGAATCCGTTTCTCTAAACACTGAGGAAAGCGAGGAATAACGAAGTATACAAGCGATAACTGTTCTCGGATGCGGGTCCCATGACTTTATTTTGCAGGCCCGCAAGCTCTCACCTTTCAGCAGCTGGAGCTCTACAGTCTCCCGCAGGTGCAGCCACTTCAGCCCCGGCGGCTTATAGACCGCAAAGAGCCCCTGCAGCCGCGCCACGCCCGACGACCCCATGTTCCCCGTCAGCCATACCACTCCATACTGCACCAGGGACGTGAACGGAAGTGCTGTACGGGGCTACGGCCCTACCCCAAATGTGATCCCTACATTGGGCTCCGCCATGTTTCCTCGGCCGGAAGAGGCTCTCTTCTTATTGTCCTCGGGTGGAAACCGGAGATAGAGAAGCAAATAGGGCCGTGTGCGCAGCACTGCAATCCGTGATGCGAATTCTCTTTGGAGACGCATTCAGATTTTGTTTGCCTGCCTCTCATGTATCCCAGGCTGGACTCGAATTCACCATGTAGCCAAGGATGACCTTGAACTTCTGACCCTCTGGCCCCCAACCCCGATCCCCTAAATCCTGGGATGGCAGGTACGCACTATCACGCCTTGCTTACTGCTTCCAGTCTCTACTGCGATGCTACCGGGCCTTGGGGATGCAGTCTTTTGACTTCTCCGGCACGCCGTCTGGAGTGAGGCTCCCGCCCCTTCGCCGCGGACGTCCGCTGCCATGGCGACGCTGCTGCTCCGGGCCCTGCACCCCCTCCGCAGGCTCCGCCGCGGTCACCGGCCTGCAGCCGGTGAGCAGCACCCGGGCATCCCCGGTCGGTGGGAGGAAGAGACCCTGGGGCCCCAGCTCTGCTCACCCCGATCCTCTTCCTGCCCCGCAGCTGTGTCCCTGAGAGTCTGCAGCCATGGCGCCCGCCTGCTGTACCCGGACCACATCCCCACCTCCCCGCTGCAGAAGGTGCTGCTGGCCGCCGGTTCGGCGGGGATGGCTCTCTACAACCCCTATCGCCACGGTAAGGCCGTGCACTCCGGGCTCTCCGAAGCCTGGGAGGGTCACGACCTCCGGCAGAGCCTCGGTTTCCTGGGGGTGACTGAAGGATAGACCAGGCCGGGGTACCCCAGCCTGGCTGCATCTATCTCAGAATCACCAGGAAGGTTTATAATCACTGGATACTTTGTTCCCGCCAAAATCACAATCCAATATTCCAGGCCTAGGGAGGGAAGGAAGAAAGAGGCGTGAAATCTACAAGTCTGCCCTTTTTTTTTTTTTTTTTCTTCCCTAATTCTTGGGAGAATCTGTCATCCATCTACTTTGAGACTCTGGACTGGATGACTTACAAACACAACGTTTGTGCTAGGAAGTAAACTTGGTAAGATCAAGGACCATGATGTCCCTGTTGCATGACCTGTCTGGTTAAATTTGCTTGTTTTTTGGGTTTTGTTGTTTTGAGAGAGAGTCTCATACAGCCCAAACTAGCCTTGAACTCTATGTAGCCAAGTATGACCTTGAACTATTGATCCTCCTGCCTCCACCTCCAGAGTGTTGGTTTTACAGGTGTGTCACAATGCTCATTTTATTGGGTGCTAGAGATCAAACTCAGGGCATGCTAAGCAAGCTCTCTGTTAACTGAGATATATCCCCAGCCCTCCAGTACCATTTAACGTTTTGGTTGTTAGCCTTAGCTTTTAACGGCTGTGCTATCCCTCCAGCCCCCAGTACCATTTCATACCAAAGCCTGTAACTAATCAGTGGAAACATGTGACTGTGTTTTGATAATGGGATGTGAAAGTAATTCATATACTCTGTTAACCAAAGCCGCACAACTCCAGCTTTAGGGGCTGGAGAGATGGCTCAGTGGTTAAGAACACTGATTGTTCTTGCAGAAGACCCAGGTTCGAATCCCAGAACCCACATGGCAGCTAATAACTGTCTGTAACTCCAGTCCCAGGGGGTCCAACAGCCTCTTCCGACCTCCGAGGGCATTGCACAACACAGGTGCACCTACCTACATGCAGGCAATACACGCATACACATAAAATAAAAATAATAAATAAAATTAGCCGGGCATGGTGGCGCACGCCTTTAATCTCAGCACTCAGGAGGCAGAGGCAGGGGATCTCTGTGAGTTCAAGGCCAGCCTGGTCTACATAGTGAGTTCCAGCTCAGCTGGGGCTACAGAGAGACCTTGTCTCAAAAAGACCAAAGTAAATAAATTAATTAATTAAATTCAAAAAGAAAAGAAAAAATAAAATAACAGCTTTAGTTGAGTATAATGGCTTATGACTGTAATCCCAGCACTTTGGATGTGGAGGCTGGAGGATTAAGAGTCAGGTTCATCCTCAACTACATAGAGTTCAGGGCCAGCCTCGGCTATGTGAAAACCTATCTCAAAGGAGAGAGAGAAAACCTATCTCAAAGGGGAGAGGATAGAGAGAAAGATTTTTATTTTATGTGTATGAGTGTATTGCCTACATGTATGTGAGTGTACCTGTGTCATGCAATGCTGTGGAGGTCAGAAGAGGGCTTTGGATTCCCCTGGAACTGGAGTTAAGGACAGTTTGTAGCCACCATGTGGGTGCAGGAATTGAACCCAGGTTCTCTGCAAGAGCAGTCAGTGCTCTTAACTGCTGAGTCATCTCTCCAGCCCCATAAATTAATAAAGTTT